CTGGCGCTGTGCACAGGGCTCCCTGCAGGGTTTAGCGAGAGCCGAGCCCAAGCCAGGCAGGACTTCAGCCTGAGCCGCAGCTGAAAGGTCACGGCATCACCACGCCAGCCATCACGCAGAGCGGGCAGAGAAGCAACCTTGCAGAGCTGCTTATGGCGTCCCAGCAGCTTTGTTTCTCTGCGTAACCACCAAGTAGGAGTGGTGGCACGACATTTAGGAGGGGCTTGCAGGGACAGGCTTTGAGCAGATCACATGGCAAGCCATCCAGCAGTCACCGTGCCCAGCACAGATCTTTTCTGACATTCCCTGGGCACCAGAGGGACAGAAGCCAAAGTTGGTCCCTGCTGGTGAAGTCATGGAAACATCCAAAATACCATCTTTTCATCAATCCGCTGATCTCTTTTCATCATCCGTTGGTGATGACCTCCTGCCTCTGCAGCAAGAGGCATTTGCTAAAGGAACAGGCACCACCAGGGCCCAAAGGTCTCCTGTCCCATGGCAGGAGTCAACACCTCACCCTTGATGCCAGGCTGGTCCATGCAGCTCGCTGTGGCAGCTCTCCTCCTTGTACTACGAGCTGACTGGTGATGTTGCAGCAGTTACCCAGGGCCATTCCCAGAGTAACATTAACCAAACTGCATACTATAGCAAAAAAAAAAAAAAAAAAAGAGATCGAGGATACAGACTTGTCCCTGCAAACCTGCCAGCAGCCACACGAGAGCCAATGCAGTGATGAACAGTGCAGGCAAAGCAAGAGCAGTCCTGGAGGAAGGACATTTCCCAGGTAAGCCCTTCAAGCAGATTTGGGGAGAAGGATCCACAGCGCAGGAGCCCCGAGTCAGCAGAGCTCTGCAGAAAGCTGCAATATTGGCAGCACCGCTGCCTGTCACAGACATCTCATCTCTGTCACTCACTAATCCTCTTTTATTTCATTAGAAGGGTCAAAATGCAACAGGGAATTCCCGAGCCCAGCCCACACAGCTACACCCAACAAGTGAAAGACCAAAGTTACTGTTCTTCAAAGCAGGCACGTGTGCTCCACAGTGGCCAAACACAGCCATTCCTGAGATTTACCTTTATTTTAAGCTGAAAAAAAATTATTTTAAGATTTCAGTTAGCAGAGCACAGGTCTAGCCTCATAGCTTGGGCAGCCTTGGTTCCTAGAGCCAGGTTACATGCGATGGAATGGGAGAAGCCTCTGGCTGTGCCACTGCCATCATCTGTGCCCGGGCAGCGAGGAGCAGGGCAGGCAGCTGCTGGCAAACCAGGAAGAGCATCGCTTAGTAGCAGTATTACAATGTCCGTCTTACCCTTCTGCTCCAGGGAGAGGGTTTGCTAAAACCTGACATTTAAAGGCTTCTTCCCTCAACTCTGCTTTTGTGTATGTGCGATGCGTACGTCTATGCGTACCACAAGTGTACATCAGTATGCACACATATAAAGTTTATACGTGCACGTGTGTTTTTCCGCAGAGCGCAGTGCAGAGCCGTCCCCAGTCGCACAAGCGTCCTCCTGGCAAACACATACTTGGCTACACGTAATATTAACACATCAGCATCTCCAGTGACTGTTTCTCTCCCAGAAGGAGCTCTAGAGAATATAGCAACAGAAACATTAATACTTGCTGACTCAAGGGCTCCACCAGGAGGAAAACCAGCCTGATCATCCCATCAGAAGGGCTAGAAGAATGGCAGGCTGGGGAGTGACTGGCAGGGAGGCCAGAGTTGCTGTTTAACAACGGTCAAAGGCATGGATGAGAAACGTGGCAGAATTGGATTAGCGCAGTGTCAGCCGGCCAGGGGCTGGCCGCAGCTCTGGGTGTCTTCATCTGCTGCAAAAATCTTACTGGTTCAGCAACATGGCCTCCACACTGCCAAGAAACACTAAGAAAGAGCTTGCTAATTGCCCTGTCTTCACCCACCTTCTTTTCTTTCCCAGCAAGGGCTGGGAATACTCACTGACCTGCTGTATCCCACAGTGGTTTCATGACCAGAGAGCAGGGCTGGGAGCAGACCGTCCACTTGTGGCTACTGCTCATCAAGTCATGGGTTTTGCCAGGACCCACATGTCTGCTTGAATGAGAACAGTGGGAGCTACAGAGGCCGTTTTGGATGTTAAAAAGTGGGATTCTACCCGTGAGCCTCAGCTCCCTTGCAGCCCTCCAAGACAGGTTTCTGCTCACCTGCCTATTCCAGACATGTCCTTCACCATGAGACGAACCCCTCCAGGAGCACCTTCTCTGTCCTGCTGGCTATAACGGGAGTCATGCACCAGCCGTGGACTCCAACTCGGAGCACACAGACTATATATTGAAGGGATGCATCACAACTTCTCTCCCCCCCCATCAGGCATTTTTAAGCACGATGGCCAGTGTGAGACACACAGAGCCAGACTCAGTTTATCCACCAGAGCCCTCAGTGGTTTCTGCCCAAGCCCCAGCACCGGTGCGAGAGGAAGTGATCTTCATGGCTGTCTCAGGGAGGCACAAAGGCCCAGCAGGGACAGGACTTTTGACTTGACACCCTTGAAGGTGCGGATGCTACCAGATGTGAACCTCTGCCAGCTCAGCCCCAGCTGCTGGGCTGCAGGCAGGCCTGGCTGGTCCCCGCTCAGGGGGCTGAACCCCATGCTGCTGCGCCCAGGCAGAGCCAGCGTGCCCGACCCAAGGGCACAATGCCATTGATGGATCAGATATCAGATACTACCCACCGAAATGACATTTCTGGAATGTTTCTTCTTTGCATCTAAGGGACTCCCAAGAGATTTCTCCTTGAGCCAGAGAATTCCAGAAAAAAAAAAAAATAATTGTTTGCTCCCTAGACCGCAATTCCCATTCCCAGGAACAAGAAACAGCAAGTTGAGAGCTCAGAAAGCGCAAGACACCGTATGGAGCACTCGTAGCTTTCTCCCACAACCCAAAAGCTGTGAACACCGACTTGCTCTGCCATGGCCCAATTTTATCATTTTGGATTTCACAAGAAAGCATGTAACTAGCAAAGGCATGCTCCTCTCCACATTCAAGTTTTATTGAAACTACACACATATTTTACACACAAATGGAGTGGGAGCTGTTGTACCACACTTTGGTATCTCATATACATTTACAGAACCTGAGCACATAGCAGTTTCATATTTGCCTATTCTGTACACTCTCATCATAATTCACAACACTCAAAACAAATGCTTTTTAGTACTTTTAGTGACATAAAAATAGGTTCCATTCTTCCAACAACAGACCCATTTACAACATTTTCTCCCCTGTCAACACAGTATTTCCAAAAGGGGCTGGATTTTCTCTCCAAATCCACAGTTCTCTTGCAGTTGCAGGACGTTAGTGAGGGACAACAGTTCCAGCTTCTTCAGGTCCACCTCTGCCCTCCCCAAGTACCTTATGGCACATGACACATGCTCTTCTCTAGGGGAAAAAAGCTGTCCTGTTTCCATGCTCATTACATTCTCATGATCATTTACTGAGACCAAACAAAAAGAGTCAGTTTTGCTGCTAATTGTTAACACCAGGGATAACTGTTCACTAGGAACTACACTAAGGCAGCGAACCTATTTCATGGAATTTGGGTACCCAGGGCTATGGCTGATCTGGGCTGGCAAAGAAGTAACACTTGCACCGCCCCATCGCTGATATCCCTGGGCTGTCAGCTCATCTCATGCCAGGCATATCAAAAGCAGCCCAAGATGTTTGCAACAATAAGAAAGACTTATATAAGGTCTTAAATAAATTGTTGAACATTATGAAAAAATGCTTGGGTTTAATAAAGCAGAACCCTCTGTCTAGCTCATGTACACTCACTTCATCTTTGAAAAAAATGAGCGTACCTACTTGCAAATAATCTACCTACAACTGAATAGTATCCCTTCCATCCCAAGTACCACTGCAGTATGTTAGCCATTCTTCAATTGCTGTTCTCTACATGTGACATCAAGAAATTAAAAAAAGTTTCCAGGCACACACTGGAACACATCAAAACCCAAAGACCAGTCCTTTGTAAGATGCTGCTAATCCACACTACTTGAAGATTTGCTTTTGAAAGGTTTAATACCTTCCTCCAGAAGCTCTTCTGTGACAATGGTTTCAATGATTCACATTAAACACCCAACTTGAAGTACCTTCATACATTACTGGTGCTTCCTTACAACCCAAGTAGTATGTTTGTAGCACCTCAAGCTAAAATCCCTTGGAATGATATGCCTTCTCGCCCCATCAACACACAAATGAAACCGAGAAGGGGAGAGTATCAATCACCCAGCACAACAGAGGGAAGACAGACAACACCCAGAGCTGGCTGTTCCAGTGTCAGATGCTGACTGCAACTCAGTGCAACTACAGACTGCTTAATAAGGCACTTGTTCAGAGAAGCAGGGAAAAACAGGCAGCACAAGCCAAAGAACTACAGGATGTGTTTTTTCTCCACTATTAACAGGCTTGCCTTTTCAAGGACCACTTAAAGTTCACTGACCTGCTCAATAACAGCTGTAAGACAAAAATCGTATGTATTTGATTTAAACTCCTATCAACAGCCATCAGGTTTGCAACCAGAGTAAAAACGTTTTCAGGCAGAACCCAGGTTAGTGGGGAGATCAAACTGTATCCCCAAGTTTAATAAGATTTTATAGTTCATACCCTATCGTCTTCCCACATTTGCTTGTTACTCTATCTGCAGCAGGATGAAAGGGAAGAGCTTTTACTCTAGATCAAATCTATAAACATGAAAATAGAAATAATGAAAATAATTTATAGCAACATATATACATAGAGTGATACCTCATCTGGTTTTCAGATTATAATACCGTAACATGAAGTAAATACGCAGTTTGCTTTCTTAAAACACTACCAAAGTCTTAAAAAAGTAGTAGCATCCAGGGCATTTTTAAAGACAGCAATCATGGCAGATGAGTCAAAGGAATCTTAAAAAGGTCATCTTTTTAAAAAGCCATATAAATTTTTTAAAAAGGATCCTCCTTTTTTTTTTTTAAATGACAGAAATATTTTTACTCCTCAAACAACATGAAAACCCAGGAAAAAAAATCCAGTAGACTCCAGTTCCAGGAGAGGAAATGAAGACAACTTCACAGCAGAAAGTGAGATGGGGAGAGGGAACCAGTCACCGTTTGTTTGCCAACTTATCAAAAATCTGCATCCAGAGTGAAGACATTGTCCATTGTTTCTGCCATAACAGCAAAACGTTGATATTCTGAAACCCGCTTCTCAAAGAAATTTGTTTTTCCTTCTAGAGAAATATTCTCCATGAAATCAAAAGGATTTTCTGCATGAAAGACCTGGGGAAGGGAAACACTATTACACTGGTGATTCTGATAGGGTAACAATGCTTTAAAAAACTCCAACAAACAAAACAGTCAAACTCTTTCAAAGTAGATCATCCCTTGCTGTAATATGGTGTAGAATCTATCTGGTGCTGGACACCTATCTAAGCAAACTCGGTACTGTCACTCCCCAGGAGTTTGGTCCATGGTGAAATTCACCTGCACGAGGTGCTTATTATCCTTTGAGGACTACAGCACTCGAGCATAGCATAAGTTTCCCATTACAAACTTGCAGAGCAGCTGAAGGGAAACAATGGCCTAAATTGTTCTTGCTCTTTTAAATAATGAAGCATATATATTAACGCTGTGGTTTTGGCTGTCACTCACAGAAAGTGCAAGCACTAAATACGACCTGCTCCCAGGTACATTTAAGAGAGTGCTTTGTGCTGACGGCTCTCCTGGGCTGTCCTGGCAGGCCAGCATTTCAGGCAATTGCATCTCTTACCTTTGAGAACCCAAGCTCCATTAGTAACCGGTCTGCGACAAATTCAATATATTGTTTCATCAAAGTGCAATTCATTCCAATCAGACCTACAGGTAATGCCTCTGTTAGAAACTCCTAGAAGTTAAAATACAGATGACATTTAGAGAAATGAAATTTAAGAAGGGAAAAGGAGAGAAGACACCTGTGTTTCACAGTAACACAATCTGTGATTTTCCAGGCTCCCCAGACAGTTGTCTGAATAAATAGCCTGCATCACTAAACTCAACAAGTGCCTTCTGTTTTCAGTGGTTGTTTGTATCTTCCTTTATTTTTAGCATGTTTTTCTGGAAAAAGCACAAGAATTTTTATTACTGCCCCTCTCATATGCCTTTCATCGCCCCCCCACAAGATCCCAATCTTCAGTGTAAGCTTGAGCTCCAAGTTCAATAAAACCTACAGACCATACTAGCGGGAGCAGAAATAGATCCAGAAATCTTCCATCTTCCTTAGCTTCCAGCCATTACAGAAGGACAGATCAGAGAGGATAGTGATATACATGAGTGCTGAACCCAGCCACGTATATGTTTAGGCACCGATGCAATATCTGTCAGTGTTGTGAGGCAAAGCTGGGACACTTGTCATCATCACAGTAGTTAGATGACAACAGAAAAGAAAGAGTAAACTACAATCCTGCCAAACACTCAGCAATGCAGAAACTTGTAGTTGCCGATGGGTAGCATTTTGTGTGAAAGAATCTGACAGAAACCTCAGAAAAAGTCAGAACCCAGCACGGTCCACGTGGCCAGAACAGACCCTGTCTTCTCCTGAGGACAAGCAGGGATCTGTATACAGTACAGGGACAGACAAAGATCCTGAAAGAACAGAGGTAAGCAAACTTTTCTCTAAGAGACAGTTGCAGTTGCACTAGATGATTGTTGTAGGTCCCTTCCAACTGGAACTATTCTATTCTATACTAAATAAGACAGCCTTTCTCCTTTTCTGTTATTAAGGTGGAAACCAGCAGCCACCTTCAGCTTCTCCCAGTGGCTTTACAACTGAATCAGAAAGTCTCTGACTCTTATTGTCACCATGAAGGAAGAGGGAAAGGATGGTATAATGTATCAGGGATCCAGGCCTAAGCAAAGTTTCAAATACGGAATCCCAAAAGTTAGAAGTTAATTTGTTTATTTTTGCACATAAGACTGGTCCTGCGCTGCCCACAACACTGTCACGGCCAGGCTTACCTGCTCAATTTCAACAGCATTAATGATGATCTCACGGACTCGCTCTTCTGATGGTCTGTTCACTAAATAATGGAACATCAGACAAGCAAAATCACAGTGTAGACCCTGAAATAACAGAACAATTAAAAAAAAAAGTCAGTTTTCCCTCCTCCACATAGTTTGTTTACTTTAAGGCAGCCTCATTCAGGCTGAAGCTTCCTAGCTTCCTGCTTCTTTGACAGTCTTAATGTTACCATGTGTAGTGGGCACTTTTAATTTATAACCCAGTTAGAAACATCTGAAACACATGCCACCTATGCTGAAATAACGCTAAGCGTACGTGTTTCTCAGGTAGATATTTTTGAGAGCTGCTCTGCTGTGAGGGATCCTACATGGAGCCCTGCTGGGTCCCTGCCTCCCATCAGAGATGCTTTTGCAGAAAGACTCCTACATCGAGACCTGCAAAACTACCTGCCAGTTAACATAGACTGTTTACCTGCTCTCTCGTTCAAGATACCTGTATGGAAATACTTGGTTTAAGTTCTTTTAGTAGCATTTCTTCCCTTGCTTCTCCTCACAGCGTTTTCAGAAAGGAATATTCAGATTAGAGTCACCAAATCCAAGATTAGCAAGTCATCTCTCCACACAACACAGTTACTGTGAGGAATTTGCTACTGCAACATTCATAGGTTTGTAATACTTAAGGCTACCGTGCCCCAACTCAACCCATCTTCACATTTCACCCAGCTATCCTGCACAGAGCCCAGTATATTGTGTTCATTCCAGGAAAGCCTCCAGCAGGATAAGACAACATCAGAAGATGAGCAATCCCTCGCAGTCTGAGGGAGGTACCAGACAGCTGCTCCAAGAGGTGCCTCAGTTTTTATTTGAGCTTGCCGGGCTACAGCTTGAGCCTCTGGCTTCAGCCTTACCCACCACTGCTAGACTAAAGGAGCACTGTACTACTGCCTCTCCTCTCCACAGCAAGGTGGTGATTACAGCCCGTAAGCACCATGAGGGTATATCCAGAGTGAAAACTGGTCAGAAGGATTTGGCAGACTAGGGGCTATGAGACAATCCAGTGCTATTGTTAACAAGGGTCAAAACAAAACCAAGAAGCAAAAACTTTTCCAGAAAGGCTACAAAATCCTTGTGCTTCAGATCATGAAACAGCTCTGAAACAATGTAATTTGGGAAACATTCTCCCTGTAGGGACAGCATTAGCTGTCTTGTCCAGGGCAACATCACCAGCAGGACACAGGCCGTGCCTGGCTTCTCGCCTGAACCAGTGTGCTCTGCTGACTGATACTCCCAGCAGCTTTGCACCTTTAAGAATCAGAGATGGACCAGCTCGAAGAACAGCCTGGGAACAGAGCCTGCAGCTCAAAAACCATACTGAGCTGTAACCATTTATCTGTTCAGGTGCATCAGAAAACAGCTCGTGTAGTTTTCCATTGTGGATTATTTTTACTGCCACTGCTTTTGTAACAGCATTTCCTGGTTTTCGATGCAGGTGCTGTGTGCACCAAGCCTTACCCTTCATAACAGCTCTGCAGTTGGAATTATGCCAGCGGAGCTCAAGAAAAATTCAGTCTTTTGGTGCTCTACTCTGCCAAGAAGTACAGTTACACTGCTGTACAGAGGAACTTAGGGCTCATTCACCTGCAAGCGATCCTTCTAACAAACAAATACTTCCTTGCTCGAATGGATCAGTTCACGATGACTCACAGAAACAAGAAGACACAAGGAAGGTCAAGGCTGAAGAACTGTTTGGTTTTGCTTACTGATCGTATCGCTTTCTTCAAAAGTGTCTTTTAAATAAAAGGCATCTTGTAAAAATGCCTCCTTTCAAATCAGTTTATCTAATCCATGGAGATTACTTCCATTATGATAAAACTCTTCAGTCTTTTAGACCAACTCTGCTAAGTTCAAACCACTACCTTGTTTATACTGCGTACAAAACTGGTCTTTCTGCTTTTCCAGTGTTGACAGTGCCACAAGTTGTGTGGTGCCCTGTAGACAGGCCCCAGCCATAAGGAACTGCTGCCAACTGGCAGGCAGCAGTGCAGGAAGCGGTGAAAAGGCACCAGTCAGCATGTGGCCTGCCACGTTTGGTGTGCTGACACGCAGCCCCTCAGACACATCACATCTTAGGCTAAGAAGCACTCCCCTCTACTACAGACCTATAGCAGCGATCCTGTCACTGTGCAGTAACACCAGGACATAGAGAGGAATGATACCTGCTGCTTCTGCAGCAACCTGCCGCAGCTGGCCAGGCGGCAGGTGCAGAAGGCTGTCTGCAAACTCTGGGACCCACAGCTAGGGGCAGATGGGGGCAGCCGCTTGGCCCTGACTGCAGCAGTTAAGGCAGAGCAAGGCTCAGAATCACGTCCCAGCTAAGTCCTTGCCCAAGCCAGCCCCCACTGCAGCTGGGGACCATGCAATTCCACACCAGTCCTTGGGCAGCCAGGCCTTCGCCTCCCTTCATGGCACAGGAAAAGAAATGTCCCCTTCAATCCAAAAAGTCCACCTTTTTGATCATACTATGCATTGGGGTATTGCTAATATTTATGTTTACTCCTTTTAAAAAGAGGTATTTCTGCTAAGAGACATAGCAGCACCTAGGTTTTAAGTTCATTAGCAACTTACAGCTAGAAGTCTGCTTCTTTCCCCTTTTTACAAATACTCTGGGAATAGCCTGCTCCTTTGCAGGACTCCAATCTTCCTACGCATCAGCAGTTACTGCTTCTCTGTCAGGCTGCAGAAACAGGTCGGGCACTGCTCTGGGGAAAGGAAGCCTCTTTGTGCTGCCTAGGACATGCTGTTAAAGCAGACACAGAAGGCTTACTGCAGGAGAAGCTCTAGGGAGCGTGGCCTGCAGTTACCTGGCAGGTAAACAGGATGTCTGTCTTGCCAGGACAGTGGACCTTCCCTGGAAAACCCTGCTGCTGACAGTGGCTAGCAGAGAACCTGCTCAGACTTCTACCACCTCCTTGGCCTCCAGCACTGCCAACATTAAAAAGGCTCTGTCATACCCAGAAATGCATCCCTTACTCACTGCTGGATTCTCTTTTTCACTGTGTCCTACCCACACACTACTTTCTGCTCTCTTCACCTTCCCTCCAGCCTTCTCTGCCACCAGAGATGCGCCGCTCTGGCAAGACTATAGGATCTTTATGAATATTATTCTGCCCTTCCCCTGGAAACCCACTTTTCTTCCCAGACAGTATGTAGGACATGACACATTACCTCATCTCTGCTAATAAGTTCATTGGAGAAAGTCAGTCCAGGCATCAGGCCTCTCTTCTTCAGCCAAAATATAGCAGCAAAGGAACCCGAAAAGAAGATGCCTTCAACTGCAGCAAAGGCAACCACTCTCTCACCTGTTTAGCATAACACGTTTTCAGTTAGACACAAAATAGTGTTGCTTGTCAGCAAGATGCACCATTTGCATCAGTGACAGATGTGGAGAGGAGCAATCCCCTTTGCAGTACCAGGTGCTATATCTGACCACATCTTTCAGCAGATCCCGAGGCATACAGGGGCTGCACACGCAACAGCACTTAACCACAGGCACCCCCAGCAGAACTGAAGAACCAGGGTACCCACAGGGTACCACTGTGCCACAGGTCACAAGGGAAAGAATGTAATTGCCCACAGTGGCCAAGACATTAGTAGTCCTTTATCTCCTTCTCCTAAAAGGCAGGAAAATGGCTGTGTAACTAATAGACGAAACTGAGAAAAGAGCTATCTCCTATAAATGAAAAAAAAAAAATCCCTACGCCTCAATTTCTGCTTGTTGAGAATCTACATAAAACTGTATTCTTACAAGAGTGGAAGAACACAGAACATAATTTATCAAGACACAAATAACTATTTATATTTATAACACCTGTTATCCCACCTTTCATCCAAGGAAAGCACAGCATTATTGGTCCCAGTTCTCCCTGTTCTCTACAGGAATGTATTTCTTCAGACTACAAGACCATCTGACTGCTTGGTGAAGACACGTCATTCCACGTACTCTATTTTAAACAACTTCACAAGATCCTTGGGTATATTCTCACATGAAGAGCTTTTGCATTAAGTGCTGGTGCCTTTTCCCAGTGAGAACTGCATAGAATTTTGTTTAAAGAATAAAATAATCCCAAAATAGCCACAGATGTCCAATTTCCTCTATGAGATGCAAATGCCATCTGCTGGCTCATCTGAAGAAATTCAAGTTAGAAAAAAGGAGGAAGATCAACACGAACTTACAAGTATCAGAGAAGTTACTAAGGAAAGAATTTGTCTGGCAACACTAAAAATCTCCTAGGTTACTTCAAGAGAGGAGTGGAGGAAGGCTGCTCATACAATATAGGTTTAATGAAGCACAAGACTCACTACTGATATGTTTTTTTACTGCATTCCACCTGACTAGCTATCGTACAAATGACTTATGCTGAAACAAAAATTGCCCATCAGCAGCACCATGTAACATTAGCACATGCTGAGGCTGAGAGTCCACAAAAAAAAATGCCGCAATTGAACCCTCTACATAAGAAACCAAGTAAAGCTGGGGAGACCTGGTTGCAGGCCAGGTCCCCAAGCTGGCTGGAAACACCAAGCAAACAAGCAAGTCAGCCACTCCATATACCATAATTCATAATCTGTAACTGTAAGACCTCGGCCCCAAAATGTTTTAAACTTGGAAATTTTCTCAATAAGATGAAGAAACAGAAGAGTAGAAATGTACTTTACAAAAATTAGGATAGGATGCATGAAGTTTGGGGGCAGGCGGTGGGGGGAGCGTTGCTTTTTGAGTTAGGGAACCTTCTGACTCTTGGCACACACCACACTGCTGGGAGCTGAATGAAGGAGATGCAGAACAGACTCCACACACAGCAAGCAAAGCCAGACTGGGAAGGCAGCAAGACGCTCCAGGACAGGAGAATCTACAGCTCCAAAAAGAATTCCACTCAAACAAGAACTGTGAATAAAACAGATGCTACAAAAGAATGATATTCAGATTTCTTTTGTTTGTCTGGCTAAATCTCTCCATCTCCTACACTTTCTCTAAGTATAGAGGATGTTTCGTTTAGAAAATTCACCAGTCTGCCCATTATTCATTTCAGCTACAATACATCCTTCAGAGTCAACATGGTAAGCTGGAAAAGATGCTCTGCACCATGCTGATGGAAGCTGAGCCAGCGTCCCAGCCCTGAAATGAGATACAGAAGCTAGAAACTGGGTCCCAACAACAAACCAGAAACACCAGAAACAGATGATTCTTGAATTTTTTTTGCTCTGACTCAGTCATGCTGTTACAAAAAAAAAGGCTAACATCACACAGAAATTTGTCTATATGAACATAAACACAGAAAAAGCCTGGACTTGCAAGACTTTGGCTGCCCAGTTCTCAACACTGGAGTACAAAATAGGAGCCAACTGGAAGAAATAATCAGAACTCCTAGAAAACAAGGTCTACATGCAAAAACTGAAGAAATTAGGGGGGTTTGGTATAAAGACAAAAGAAGACAGAGAAAGCCACAAGCGTTTTTCATAACGTGATTCTAGTGGGCACTACCATTACTATATTGCTTTAGCTGAAGATAAAAACATACATCCTCACCAGAAGTTGCTTCTAGTTCTTTAGTTAAGCCAGAGACCCACAAGCCACTATGTCATCCATGGAGAATTTCATTTCACGTTCTAGGGATGCAGCTCACTCCCAGAAGATTAGTTTGTCACATGTGCAACAGAAACAAGTTTTTAAGAAGCTACACACCAAAAGTGGATTCTCTGTCTTCAATCCACTTCAGAGCCCAGTCTGCTTTCTTCTTGACACAAGGCATTGTTTCAATAGCATTAAATAAGAAATCCCTATAGAAAAAAAAACCCAACAAACAACAACAATAACAACAACAACAAAACAAAGAGAAAACATCAAAATGATAAGAAGTGATTCATGTAAATCTGCCCTGGTTGTCCCTACTGACTCCACCAGCCAGAGGAACCCATTACGCCAGGCCTTGAACTAACCCAAGGAAGGGACCGTTCGAGCCCAAAGGGGTGATGATCTCTGATAGCAAGGGCACAGGGAGGCAGATGTGCAGAAAGCAACAAACCCAAGGTCTCAGAGGAGGTGAGCTGCAGAGATGGGCAGTGAACTTGAGTGTCCCATCCCAGGAGTGCCCACCCACCAGACCATGCTGCCTCTCAGACTTCAAGCCAGATGGCAGCCACTTCCTACCCACCGAGCTAAACCTCATCTTGCCCAACTCCACAAAAGAAACTGGACAACTCCCAGGAGCACAGGCTCCGATCCCACACTAAATATCTGAAAGGAAAGCTTGCAGTCCTTCCACTATCACCACATAGGATGCCATCACGGGAAAACAAGCTCTGCCTGACCATCATCATGGTGGAGTCTCTGAGGTAAAGTACTTATTTTCAAATGTATTATTTGGACTAGGAAGTTCTCCAGACAACAAAGGTGATGAGGCTCTCCAAAGAACCCAATACTTTAAAAATAAGCAGTTCAAGCTGTATGAAAAAGCACCAACAGCAAAAAAGCTGAAAGGATGCAATACGTTGATTAGTGTGTGTTACAAACATCAGTTGGATCACAAATACACAATTTCCCAAGGCAGATCCTGTGCTGATGTGACAGCAAGCACCTCAGGAGCACAATAACCACAAGGAGCTTGTTGAATCTTTAACAAAATTTCACATAGTCTGTGCTTCCTGCAATCAAATATTTATACAAATACTAACTAACCTTCTGACACCCTTTTTGGTCAGTAATACTTATCTCCGTTTTGGGGGTCAGGCACACAGGCTTAGAAAGCTTTAAGGAACTATCCCCAACTCCCCCAATAAGTCAGTGTGAAACAAAGACAGCTGCTGCTGAACAGGACGAGGTAACAGATTCCCCATAGTTCTGTAACCCATCCAGAGGTTTACCTTTTCTCAGGATCTTTGATGTAGGTGTCTATGAGCAAGCTGTACATCTCCGAGTGAACATTCTCAATGAGAATCTGAAAGCCATAGAAACAACGAGCTTCTGGGACCTGCACCTCCTGACTAAAACGCGCCACCTACCAAAACCAAAAAGCATGGCAATGAGTACAGTAAAACCAGTCCTGGGTGACAGTACTCTAAGCTTAATAGGAGACACAATAGACCTCTGCCACAGAGAAAGGATGGGAGCAGTTCTGCCCTACTTGATTAACAGATATATCAATAGGATCGGTGTGGTGCAGAAGAAAATAAGCAAGTTACCTAGAAGTAAATACATCTGCTGTGCATATTGGATAGAGAACTGCAGTGAAGCATGACAGCACAAGTATACAGGAGGAGAGCAGCAAAATACTGCAACAGTAAAAACTTCATATTGAACAAAGCCTCAGATTTTATGTTCATCATTAAAAAAACTAAACAGTATTATGTAAGAGTTCATGCAAGATATACACATATACTATGACATATTCTACATGTTACAGACATTCAAGGTCTAAAATGGGCATGTGCAATCAGGTATCACTAATAACCTGCAGTGAGACATTCTGCAGTCCAGAATTTCTGATTTCAGGAGAAAGATTTCCCCACCTTTTTAGCAGCACCCACCTGCAGCCCTGAAAGATTCTAGGATGCCATTCAGCGAGAGCAAAATGGGTTTTACCAAAATGAAGAACACAGAGCATGGCACAGCACAATCCCTCCCTACTTCTCATCTAACTCAAGTACGTGAAGAACTGTGAGGTTCTATTAATTCTTTGAGAAATGCAGATCAACACAGCCAGGCAGAAGGCTGAGCTTAAAAACTGTGTCCAAGAGTGATGTGATTTGGAGTCTTACTGACCACAGTTGACCCAGTTTAACTCAGACACTGGCCCAGCAGAAGCAGCTGCTTATTCCCTTTGGCAAAGGTGAGGTGATGGGAAGAAAAAAAAAAAAGTACACATTTAATAAACTTATGCATTAAAGTGAGAAAACCAAAATGAAAAGCCAATAGCCAATAACATGAATAAGTATTCAAGCCCTCTGTAAAGCTTTCTCACCAAGTTTTCATTTACAATTCCATCGCTGGCTGCAAAAAAAGCCAGAACATGAGAGATAAAGTATTTTTCATCTGCTTTCAGCTTGTTCCAATGAGGAAGGTCCTTTGACAAATCAACCTAATGAAAAGAAAAAAGAAAAACATTACTGCTGGTTTGAGTTTTTCATTCTGTAAGAACAGGAGCAGCCTAGTCAAATGACTGAGGCAGAGTTTTGGTGTTTGCCTTCCAGTCTTTGCATGCAGTGAATTTAAATAAATGTGAATGTAAAGTACAACAGACATACTGCAGTACTGCTGTCTCCCTCTGCAATGGTAACATCACGTGTTTGCTTTGCAATTTTCACTTTTGTAATCTGGAATAAAAATCAGTGTCTATTGAATTATAAACAAATCAGATTTTGAAAAGCATTGGTATCTTCTTGTCACGAGTATGAACATGCACCAATAAACAGAGCTCACTCTGAGACACTTAAACTCTACTTGAAATAAATGCTGATGCTGCAAGAAACCTATACCCAGGTGTGCCAAAAGATGGACTGAGGGGACTTTTGCCTTTGGCAGGTGTTCAGCCTCCATCCCTCCAAAGCACAGCTTGGGGCAAAGGCTGTGCAACTGCTCTCATCTACCAGACTGAACTCTAGCCACGGTACAAAACCACAACTTCCTTCGCACAGGCCTTTTTTGTTTGCTTGTTTATTTATTTGGAGGGATTTCTGAACCACAGCAGCAGTTAAGTAAAGCCAGATGTGAAAAATACAGAGAGGCCTAAAAACATATATGCATATATAAACACATACACACACAAACCAGTTTTACAGTTAACTTTCCAGTTCAGTTGGAAACGCACCAACAGATGGTAGGATGGTAGGATAAGAAGGAACCAGTAACACAGTAAAGGGGCAACGCTGATCAGGCAGGAGTTTAAATGCCTGTTCTTTAATGGCTTAAATCAACCTCTGCTTAGACAGGGCAGCAAGCCTCCCAGGCAGGCAATGGAATAGCACTTCTATGGACAGCTGCTCCTTGCCATCTCAGGATGCTTTCTGGCTTATTTAAAGCCTGCCAGTGCTTTCGGCTCACTCCTCTGCAACTGCAGATGACTGCTCGCAAATGAGCAAAGGCTGTAGAAGCTTTGATTTGGAACAACCACCTCAGCTGGCAGGTAATCTCTCCTGATCAGTGCAGTGTTCAGAAGCCTCTGCTGCTGAAGTGCAGCGACCTGAGTACTGCTCAGGCCTGGCTAACCAGCAGCCTGGGGAAAATGAGATGTCCTAACTTACAGCTTGCATTATAACATGGGGTGAGCACCTAACCAGAGCAATAAGAAGTCAATTAGAAGCATTTTTAGCAAGTGTCCCTGATTATTATCACCATATTTCTGGAAAATAGGTGCCTAATATTAAAGAAGAGCATTCACATGAAATTGCCCAGAACATCTTACATGGACAAGGAGTTAGCTGCAGGTACAGAGACCACAGCAGGGTAGGAGCTATCTGACCACAAATCAGAGCTATCTGACTTAGTCTCCCTCTACAACCAGAGAAGTGCCCCAGGATACAATTCCACCTTGTCCTAAACCAAACACCTAAACCAGCTCTGCTGAATTTTCCTATGGAAGCAGCTTTCTTTCCACCGTCCATGAAGGGAGTCCTGCTCTAGTGCAGGCACCTCATGTTCAATGCAATTAACTCCAACCCTTACAACACAGAAGCCAGGAGCAGGGCTAGGAAGCGCCAGGACCCCGGTCTAAGCACCTTGTGCCAAGCCACTGACCCCAGGGCTCACCTCTTCTGCGGTCCAAAAGGAAGCCTGAGCCTGTTTATACATTTTCCATATGTCTGGGTACTGGATTGGGAAGATGACGAATCGGCGGGGATTTTTTCTGAGAAGAGGCTCCTCATGAGGCTCCAAGCCATTTTCAGCAGTGCTCGGAGGGGAGCTCTGAAGATAAAGACAGTTCTGGTTAAGGTTGCCACTGCTTATTCCCTCCTCTGCCCCATATCCCAAAGACGTGGTTCAACAGCCACCCATGCCACGCAGACACTCACCTGCTCCCCTCGGGTGGTTGCACTACCTGTCCCTGAGGTACCTGCCCCCTCACCCTCCATCCGTGCTCCTGATGCCGCTGTGACAGCACTGCCTGTCTGCTCGGCTCTACCCGGCACCACTCGCACCAACCACCCCCTCGTAGGTGCATCGGCGCCAGGAAGCACCCGACGCCTGCACGACGAAGAGAAAGCCTTTCTGCAGCGCGAGGAGGAAACCAGCTCCGGGAGACGACATCAAATACCGCGGTACCGCACGCGGGGGGGGCACGTGCAAGGTCACTGCACTGCCACCACCCATATCCAGCACGGCTCTGCAAGGCTGACCGCCCAGGTTACCTCCAACTCATTCACTTTACATCAAGCCACTTGGGCCTGGCATGGACTTTCTTAAAAATGCCATCAGATCACAGCAACTAATCCCGTTTGGTAGAGGAACAACCTTGTGCCACAACGAGTCTCTGCACAGAGGTCTGTGTATGCAATCCTGCGGTGAGCAGAAGGCAGCCCGCACACCAGCGCAGGTCTGGAGGCTGTCCCTCGAGTGCCAATATGAAGCTATGTGGCTCATTCCAACGGCAGGCAGCAGGAAAACCCCTGCCTGGAGTCACCCATCCCCACCCCATTCCCTCTGTGCAGGCTCCTAGAGAATGCCCAGGCACACCGGACACCATCCCTGCCAGACACGTCACCAAGCGCCTACTGAAGACCACCATGGTGAAGAGCTGTCAGTACAGCACACTGCAGCCTCTCCAGAAGTGTTGGTGACTTGCAGCGATCACAAGTTTAGCCAGCTGGATTCCTTCTGGGTCAGTTCTGGGATCCCACAGACACTGCTGTAGAGGATAACTAACCACAGGCAGTGTGTGATGTATTATATATAATACAGTAGGGAAGGGGAGCAAAAGGTTTTGAATACCACTGCTTCTACCCTCCTAGGAGGTGCCAAAGTCATTTCCCTACCCAATCTGCTTGTAACCACTCACATAATAAAAAGTAATCTTTTGCTTCCGTTTGGAAAACACCCTCAAATAATTCTACCCACATTCAAAAAACAAAAATGAAACACACACATTGCATAGCTGGCATGTGTACCGCATATCCCCAAAGAAAATGCATCAGGAAGCACATTCTGGGTTACAATTTTACCAGCTGATTATATCTTTTAACATTACTTAATTATATGAGACAAATCTCCATGCATCCCCTTGCAGAGTCTCTGCTGAATGCCAGGAGAGTGCAAAACCTTTTGTACTTTCCGGGACGCAGAGATGGTTGCAGCAACCCCCAGGAAGTGCCACAGGGGAGAATTTGGGCGTGGTGGGGACAGCACCCTGCCTTAGCACACACCTTCTCGGGGCCTGCCACGCAGGCAGCATCTCCATCTGCTTCTATACCAGCCAACATCCTTGAAAAAAGGAAACACTGCAGAAATCTTCCTTGTTAGCGCAGTGTTTTCAGGAGCAAACCCCTTCTATACTGCCTGGGGACTAACCCCCAATATTTATTTTAGCCTAACGAGGTGGACTAACGAGCAGTTACTAACCTCAGCGTTGATGCTCCTGAGCCATTCAAAAGCCAGCATGAAGGGCCCATAATGTAGGGAGATAATTTGGAAAATACTTCTGGTGTACAAAAGTGAAGTGGAGCACAGGACGAGCAGAGGTTCTAGTATGGCAGGAAAACTGGAGACCAGCACTGAGACAAGGAGCACTTGTCATTTTTCCAATGGCCTTTAACAGCTGCCATGCTGCAGGCCAGAGATGGGTCAACATGCCAGAAATACTCTCAGTGCACAGTAAGACAGGAAGACGAGAAGAGAAGAAGAAAAGGCCCACGAAGCAGCATGTATGCTCTGGAGAGCCCTGATGGCAGGAGAGCAGAAGGATGGCTTCCAGGAGCCAAAGACTCAGACATCTGAGAAGGACCATCACACAGAACTGGAAAATGGTACAAGTTTTTTTAAAAAAGGTGGAGGGGTTTTTTTTTAATTAAAAAAAAGGGTCAGCCCACAGAGACTACACCATACTGGAACCTCCCCCTCAACCCACCTCCTCTAACCCCTTCTGGGGTGGAGAGAGTTTCACAGGCAGGCTCCATTTCCAAGCTGGCAGGCAGGCAGCTCCTGGCTACAAGACAGTCCTCTCTCTCTCCATTTCAGGTTCCATTCCTCTTAACCAAAGTTTTATCAGAGTAATACTCTTTACCTAACCTGTTTATTAACGCAGTACATGTCTTGGTACAACTCAGCTGAAAATTCAGGGAAGATCCTCCTCTAATTCAATTTCGGATGCATGACACACTCTGACCGCTGCCAGGGCTTCAGAGCAGCCACCTTCTTGCACTGAAGGAGCGCAACCCTCCCAGCCCTGCCTCCCTGGCACCGGGGGCACCAGCAGTGGTATGAGGAGCTGAAAAAGGTAACAGTCACTAAGCCAACAGACCGCCTGCTTCCCCTCTGCACCCCGGATCCTTTTCTTAATCCCAAAATGGTGCATAGAACAGTCAACGCTCACCAAAATAACGAAGGTTATTCAGTTTATAGTCAGAACCTGACATTTTCTCCTCAGACAGCAGGAGCCACATGCATAGAAAAGCTGAAGCTGGCAGGCACAACCCAACCCCCTGCTCCAGCAGGGTCAGCCACAGCAGGCTGCCTAGGACCATGTCCAGCCAAGGCTTGAGTATCTCCAAGGATGGACTCCATAACCTCTCTGAGCAACCTGTGCCACCTTCACAATAAGGAAATGCTTCCTGGTGTGTAAATGGAACCTCCTGTGTTTCGGTGTGTGCCCATTGCTGCTGGTCCCATCACGGGGCACCGCTGAGAAAAGCCTGGCTCCATCTCCTTTATTCCCTTTCATCAGGTATTTCCACACACAGCTGAGATCCCCCGGAGACTTCTCTTCTCCGGGTTGAACAGCCCCAGCTCTCTCACCCTCTCTGCATGCGGTGGATATTCCAGTCTCTCAACCATCAACCCTTTGCTGGACACACTATGGGTATGTCATATCCCAGTTATTCTTCAACTGTTACAGATAAACTCTTCTGGTGATGACAATAAACCCAACAGACAAGAAAGACTGCCTAGTGGTACTGAAGCTCTTTCCATGGATTTCAAATTTAGCAAACTAGGAAACAACTAAAGTATATCTATACACATGTACAACGCGCACCCCACAGCAATAGCTGTTGGGCTACATATGCAAGCGTCTCAGCTACATGGCCTGGATCAGTTGTAGCCAAGGAAAAAAAATGAAAGGCACTGGCAGAGCTGGCACTGCGCCGTGGCACACACCACATCATCTTATGTGGCCATGAGTCCTTCTGCACCCCGGTAAGAGGCTGCACGTGCATCCCACAGTCTCTCACAGGCTTTGGGCCAGCCCTGGGCACTGCAGGCCATGTCAGCGGTGAGACTGGGAAGATGGCTGGCATTCCCGGGAGAGACCGCTTCCACCACACAGCGGCTGGTTCTGCATGCCCGAAGGGAAGAGCACAGCACTACTGTCTGCCTCTGGCAGGCCAGAGTGAGCACCTCTTCGTTGTGGGTACAGCACGCCGCTGTTCACAGAGGGAAACACGAATGGGTTTTTTAGGCTTGTATTTAACACAGCATACCCCAGTTCTGGGAACTTGATTACTGCTGAGACGAAAAGGTTTGGGAAGACCACGGGTTTCTCTGCTGTAAAGATCCTTTTCCCTTGCACACCTCGGCCTGGCTTCACAAGGTCGTGCTGGGGAGAACCCAGAACGGAGCTCAGATGCTCCCCAGGGCAGATCCCTGGTCCACAGGGGTCGGGAAGCCTCCCCCCAGGCCTGCCTCCATGGCAGCTCGGGCAGAGTATACAAGCTCTGCCTGCCCAGCTCCAGGCAGGCACAGCTCCATCAGCTCAGACCTCCGCAGCACAAGGCTCTGCAGCGCCTCTGCCCTGAGCTCGGAGTGCCAGGGCCCCCAGGCCTGGTTGAGACCGGGGCCCCAGTCCTGCCTGACTCTATTCACCGTCCGGACGTTTTCTGCTTCCCGCGGTCACGGTCTGCAGAGGGTACGACCCTCCCGAGCCCAAGCGGGACGAGTACGCGAGGGCGACCCTGAGCCCTTTCAAGGGCTGTCCGAAGCGCCGTGTCAGTAGATCCCCAGGGCGAGCGGGGTGAAGCCACCAGGGCCGGGGTGGCCGGGACCCCTC